GGCTCGATTTGAAGCGGTTTGGACGCTCTTCTACCCGGCGTCGGTCGCCGGAACCCGGCAGCTGCTCCACCATCGAACACTGCAGGACGAGGTGCGCGCGTGTATCGCGTCGCTTTTGGTCGCGCTTGCGCCGACGCTCTCGACCATGAAGGTTTGGCGGCGATCGGGATACAACGACTGCTACACCTCATGGGAACAACTCGGCTTGATGGCTGTCGAGGTGCTTGCGATTGTCGACCCGACACGAATGCCGACGCTTCTGCAGAAATGGCTCGAGGCCATGGACCGTGAGACCGCTCATGAGGAAAAGTCGTCTTTCAACCGAGTAGTACAAGCGCAAGAACTCTACTTTCCGTTGGCCCAACTGCTCGCCAACACTGTGCCGCAGCACGTCGACGAGATTCACGGAAAAATTGTGCAGCGCTGCCTCGATGTGTTTGACGCTGCTCGTAGTTGTATCCCACTCCTTCCCATCATCTCCGATTACATATTGGACGACTCGTCGCTGGATGCAGACCATTGCTATCTCTGCAAGATCTTGGCCGACTTTCTGAACGACGGCACCCGATTCTCGCTGCGCTCGCTGCATGTGCCGGCGCTCTGTGATGCAGCGCAAGGCTGTATTGAGGTCAACCGCCACCGCCTCAAGCTGCATCGCAAAGCTCGTACGTCGTATTACGATATCATCAAGGTGCCGCTCGAAGGCGGCGCGGGCGAGGGCCAACTGTACGAGCTTGGCGTCACCCAGCGTCAACATGCCGAGGACCGTACGCGTGTTGCGGTTCTGGACACCATCGTGGCCGACGACCAGCGACGACCAGCGACCGACGGCGACACGCCGCATCAACATTGCGTCAAGCGCCAGCGACGAAGTTTTTCTTACCGGTAGAGACGGCGGCCTTGAAGGCATCGATTGGCGATAGGAGCCGTTCGATTGCACGTTTTACACCAGCAAGTGGCGAGTGTTATTGTCCTGTACTGGGAATAATATATCGGGTCGGAAGAAGTCCGTAGTACGCTGCGCGCACGGGGTGGTGGAAGCGAGGCAGTCAGAAGAAGGGCAAGGAAAAGGGAGATTAGTGGTGAGACTGCAACCTATCTGCAAAATAATTCATGTGCAAATCGTTCTGTCAATGGGAATGCGAGTCCACAGACTGTATCGCCCTGTCGTCTTGTATCGTACTGGCACCAGAGCTTTTCGCTCACGAGCTAACGATGCCGAACCAAGGTCTGACGATCCGGCAAACGGGCTACGACCATTTTATCAAAAGGTGGGTGGCCGCTCGGACAACGCCACTGGTTGCACACCAGTAGTTGCGTTTGGATATTAGGATTGATTACCCATTGCAACGATTGAAAATGAGCGGCGCCCGGTAGAAAAATGAGCGGACGCGATGGGAATTAAGGGTAACATAGACTGTTGCTTTGCACTTCGTGCAACCCTGTTGTCGAATTGAACCCAAGAATCCCGCCAAAGGCTCTCCCGGCGGAGGGGAAAGGGTAATGCCGGGCAATTGTGGCTCATGTTACCGCTCGTTTCGGCCTCGCTCATTTTTCTACTGGGCTCTGCTCATTTTCTACTGGGCTCTGCTCATTTTCTTGCACCTCATTTGTACTCCGCGCCCATAGGATTGCTACATATATTCTCTGGCGCTTTACATGCCTAGCTGGGAAAGACGATTCAGCGCCGCAAGGTGCATTCGTGTCAGCAGCGTCGACTGCCACGACGGCAGTGCGTACCCGTCTTCGTATTGGGCTCTCTCGTCGTCCTCTTCGCTGTACGTCTTGGAGTAGACCATGTCGCCGTCGTCGATAAAGCCCGCTGCCTGCAAACCGGCCATCGTCCGCGCTGCCTCGCAACACGGGTCAAAAAAGGATTTTTCCAGAATCCGCTGTTGCGTCCGAAGAAACTCCCAGAGCGCGTTGCAGAGAGCGCACGTACAGCGGCACGGGTCCAAGAGCCTGTCCATCAGGTCGTCATCCCTGGCTTCCGCCACGATGGAGGAGGAGGCAAGGATGTCGGCGCGCAACAAGTCGATCAATTGGTCGCGCAACGTCACCGACAGCGCCGGCCATCGTTGCGCAAACACCGAGAGCAGCGGCAAGAGCACGGCCGCGGGCGGCACGGGAAGGACCTGGCCGCTCTCATAGGACCCCTCGAGCATCAAACGGAGCCGGTGCACGAGCATCCCTGCGCGCTGCGGCGCATACGTGGCGAAAAAATCGAGTGCATCAGCGAGAAGCGCTTCGCACACGGCAAAGACGGCCGACTCTTGGTACAGCAAGATGACGTCCGTGTCGTTGTAGTAGTGGGGCAAGAGGTGCTCGATCATTCGGGCGACCGGCGTGTACAAGCAGTCAAACACGCGAACGACGATGGTCGCCAGCACATCCAGCGTCCGCGGCGCGACCGATCGCGTCTTGAGAAGCGCGCAGAGGGCGGCGATGAGCGTGCAGTGGGCCAAGCTCGTTGGCGCATTCCGCAGTCGCCCGAGAAACGCTAGAAGGACGTCGTCGTTGGCATCGGACGCGACTGCGTGGAGAAGAAGCTTCCCCTGCATCGCGTCGATCGAGTCGATGATGTAGCTACGATGCGCCAACGATGCCAGCGCCACATCCAAGTACGTGCCGAGATTCAAGTGCGGGTTGTGCTGCAGCGCAAAGCCAATCGCCGGCGCAGCAATGTACGACATCGCGGCGTAGTCTTCTGGCATGCTGTCGAGGATCGAAGCGGGGGCCAAACACGCGTCCATGGCATCGACGGCAGGCGGCGGCAAGCAAAGCTCGAGCGGCGACGGCGCCCGTTGCCTCAAGTAGTTTTCGAGGAGGAGGCAGTTTTTGATCAGATGGAGCCGTGCGTCCGTGACGACCGAGCACGTGGGTTGGTGCAGCCAATCCCTCGTCTCCGTCTCGTGAAAGAGAGAGGGCACGTCCCAGTGGTTGCAGAGAAGACGGTATGCACACTGGATCCGGTCGCGTGCCTCTACGTGCACCAGCGGGGGGCAGACCGGGTCGTCGGC